AACTCCTGCTGAGTTATTTTTGGGCAGAAAGATTATAACGCCGTTAGATAAATTATTTTATGTGCAACAAAGAGCCCCAGAATTTAAAATGGGTGATGTAGAAAAACTAATTAAAGAAGCAAAAAGAATACGGAAGTAGCACAGAGAAAACAAAAGCTGTATTATGACTTGAAACGACGGGGAGTAACTTATAAAGTAGGGGATGAAGTAATTAAAATTAAGCATTCACTTTCTTCAGCACCAGAAGATAAAACTGCCAAATTTTTTCCACGATTTGAAGGACCATATGTCATAGAAAAAATAACTCACGCTGTAGTAGTGTTAAAAGCTAGGAATAGTGAATCCTGCTCCGCAAACATTGATCAAATCAAACCCTACTATGATCGTAATAAAATGCAAACATTTACAGATCTTTTGCAGGATCCGGCACGGCAGACACGGCAGGCACAAGCTCCAGAGGTGGAACAACGACAAGTACAAGGGCAAGCCAACCATTAAGAGGCAGGAGCAAGTGAAAAGAAAGTTTCCCCGCGGGAAAATTAAAGGTAACAAGAAAAAGAAGCCGTTCCACCGTCCAGAAAAAGAGAGCTCACGAACACCCCCAGAATGAAGAAGGGAGAAGGACGACGTATGCAAAGAGAGCCAGGAGAAATGACGGCAACTATAACCCGGCTCTAAACCGGAAGATCTACTCATCCGACAGGACTCTTCGCAGCAAATGTCGCCGAACTGCGGAAGGGCCACCAGCGGCGGAGGAAAAGTTACAAGGAAAATTTGAACGGCCAGCAACGAGGTCCAAGCAGGAACACGAAAGAAGTTTCCCGGTTCCGCCAAGACCAGCTGCCATCAAACGGCCAAGACCACAGGCAGAGGCGAAAAGAAGGTATTCAATCAAGGGTGACCGAACTGGAAAAAAAAGAAAGCTTCTAGAGGAAGGCACTGAAGGGCGAGCCCGCACAAGAAGGAGGATAAATCAAACAAGAATCTTCGCTACCTTCCAGGACTGGGCTCAGAAAAGAATGTCCGAATATCACAAAGATAAGTAAAATTTTATGTTACTTTGCAAATTTAAGTTAATCTTTCATTCTTACTGCAAGTGGCAGATTTCAAGAAGTTTTACCTCATGCGAGGTCTACTTTTATCGCCAAAAGGGCGAGAAATGAGTTGTTACCGCCGATTTTGGTATTATGTTTTTCAATTACTCGCGCGTAAAACTAAAGTTGATGTATAATAGCGTTGTGTAAAGACTTAAATATTGTAAAAAGTTATTGTATAAATTTTATTTAAAACATTCTGGCAAGAAAGAAGTTTTAGTCTGAAAGACTTTTTGAAATGTAGTATTTCAATGTAGAAAAATTGGCACTTGCTTTGAAAAGAATAGAAGTTAACAATGTACTACTAATGTATGTTTTCAAATGCGTAAAATTAACGGCATGTTAATATGTTCTTATATACAATGTGAACTGTTATTTTAAATGTTAAGAAATACCGTGATATGGTAAAAGTGAAAGTAATGTTAAAATTTTTTTTTATTCGTGTGACTGTAAAAAGACTAAATCATGGTGAATATGTGTTAAAGGTTGAATGAATGTAGTTAGGCTCTCTGACGCTACACTTCAGAGTTAGCCACTTTCAGAATAGTACCTCAGGGTTTAGAGTTGAAGTTAGGGTGTGTTACGAGGTCTTGGTTATGTTGAATTTTTAACACGTTAGTGTTTTGATTGTAGGAGGAAGTGTTGAACACGTAGACATAAACACATTCGTGTTTGGTGTTATTTTACAACACATGTCAGAGAGCACGGGGAGAGATAATTAAATAAAGTCATGAATGAAATAAGAATGTTAAGAGAAATATAATTATACATGTTACTTGCCATTTCATTGTGTAACATTTCATTAAACTAGTTTTCCTTCCAGATCTCTGGAAGGAACCAGATTTGAATAAAAGCTCCTGTTTAGATGCAGTACAGATGAAAAAATTGCGTGTCCTGGGAGCTGCTATTGTAAAAACAAATTTCTTTCTTTTAAATTTCTAGTTTCTAGCGAAAAATGTTTGTAAAAGATTGGCCTCGCGTTAGATTCTAGAGCTAAAAGTTTTCAACAAGGTCGTTTTAGACCTCAGTTTCAAACTAATTAACTCTGGCGGGAAGTATGTAAGGATCTTAAGTTTTACTAACGTTTATTTTATTTTAAATCTTTACTATCACTTCTTATTTTCTACTTCCGGCCAGAATTATAAGCGTTAACGTATTTATGCAAAGTTTGTCTGGCGAACGCCAAGTATTTAAGTTGTGGCCTTTTGCCAAGCGAGAGAGAGGAAGCAGTTAGTCGAAGCAGGCCGCTTACCTTAGAAGTTTTACTCAGTTGCTGGTTGCCTTCCAGGCCAGAGGTTTAATCCTCTTGATAATTTTTAAAACGTATTGTAGTGTTCACAGTTCTCTGTACTACATACGGCTTCCTGTTAATATAAGGCCAATCTTCCACGTTATTATTTTAAAGTTAAATTAGAGTTTAGTTTTATTTTTATATTTTTACGTTTAGACCACAAGTAGTGGGTCTTTGTATTCCGAAGTACGGAAGTTATTGTAAATAGAGAAAAATAAAGGGTTTTGTATACCCTTCTTGTGTATCCTGTCTACTTCCCACAGTTATTGAACATAGCTTTAGTAAGCTCTCTGTTCCGAGTCAGGTCCTTGCATGTTCCCGAAGAAAGTAAGACGGAACATTGAACCTGATAAGGTTATCTCTTTGTTTCACTTCTAATCAAAAATTGAATTCGACAATGATATATAATTTTAATTTTTTTTAAACAAATTATTACACTTTTTTTAAATGGGTCAGACGTATATAGGGAGCGAGCATTTACCTCTTTGCATCAGGTGAAAAATGCATGTAGACACAGCAATGAGTATCTTAATTATTTAACAACAGGAGGTAATCAGCTGTGAATATTTAATATATTTTCCTTAATGTAAGCACTCAGAAACCGTGACCATCGACAATATAACTTTTTGAGTAACTAAAAATTTTTAGGACATTTCAGATCAGATAGCAGCTAAATTATTAAGCACTTTCTGTAAACACATTCCATTTTCCTATCATCAAACGACTGAAAAAAAAATAATAAACTTCTTTATAGCACTTGAATCTTAAATATAAAATGTATACAAAGTAACATTATCCCATGCTTTGGCAACTCACTTGAGTGGAGCGTTGCGGGCATGTAAGATAAAACTTATCATGGACGGATGTGTATATGGATGGATGCAAGGTTTCTGAAATGTATACTTTTTTTTTTTTTTAATCGGAAGCATATTTTACGCCTCTTATACCCTGTTCTATAGCCCTATTATTTATATAAATGTTTCATTTGTTGAAAATTATTAAACTGCTTCGCATGAAAATAATATTTATGACGCTTACTGAAATAGGCAGAAATACCTTTTTAAAAAAATTCCTGATATAATTTATTTAAAACTAACCATAAACTAAATTACAAATCATGAATAGTCTTGAGAAATTTACATATATATTTATGTATGTGTGTGTCTCGTAAAACATTATCGGTGATGATTCTATAAAATAAAAGATTTCAAATAATTATTATATATTTATCACATACCCTTTCAACTGAAATGCTTGATCCAAATGTTGTTTTTAATGAACATGGAACATGTTTCTTGACATCTAGTTCCTGATAACTTTATCTTGAAACATGTTTCTTGATATCTCTCAGAGACTCTCAGTGAATTTTATTTATTTCACCTGTGTAAGCGATGACCACAGAGAGGCTATTTTGACCGTGAAAATAAGAAAAAGGTTACAGTGGGACCTATGAAGCTGAGTGCACTGGGACAGTTTTTTGGAACAAGTTACAACAAATTAAATTATGAATTAATTTCACTAATTTATAGAGATCATTAGGTATATTTTTGAGCAGTTAACTGGAAAAATTAAAAATTTGCATTGCTTTCTTCGTGATTCGAACTCCAGACCTTATGATTTCTAGTCGCATGTATTTGCAGTTACACCACCCGCCCAATGGTAAGGAGGGAGAAAATATCTTACATTATCTTCCACTTCTCTTCCTTTAGGAGCAATTACAGGGACAGAGGTCTAATCGCCAACCCTAAAGACAAAGAATTATCATCTACCACCTCTTCGTTTGGGCGTCATTTTTTGAGTCATTACGAATTTATTTCAAAGCAGGAGACTTAAAAAACTTTTTAAGGCTTCGCCGAGATTCTAACTCCAGACCTTCCGATTGCCAACCAGACATGCTTTCAACGCACGTGACGAAAGACTTCAATTACACCACGAAAGCACGCCGTAAAAAAGGAGAAGTACCTTACGAAACCTTAATTTATTTATAGGCTGAAAATAATTATTACGAGGGCGAGCAGTAACTTTTACCGTGAAAGTAGAAGTAAGAAAAAAATCAAATCACACGGTGGGTCACACAGAGCTTGTAAAGTTCAGTGCCATTAGGACAGTTTATTTTGCTCAGAAACGAAATTATGACAAACTTATTAAATTATGATCAAAAGTCACTAGTTCCATCTCTAGAATCAAACAGATGAGCACGCAAAGAAGGAAATTGTCGCACGGTGACACACAGAGCTTGTAACATTGTATGGCACTGGGACAGTTTAGTTTACGTAAAAACGAAATTATGAAAAACTAAATTGTAAATTTAAGTTAGTATCTCATCTGGCAATACAAAAGGCTGACTAGCGAGAGATAATTTTAACCGTTGAAACAGCTTGTAAAACTAAATGGCTTTTTGACCGTTTGTTTTGCTCAAGAAACGAAATTGAAACTAAATTATTATATGTTCTATTATTACGCTAAAACTTATTGTATGTTTTCTTATTAGGCTAAATTGCGAAGCGCTTTTGAGTAACTGTGACTGTAATCAAAACGTTCCAATAGAAGAAGTAGCGTGAAATGCAAAACTTAATTGTTGTATATAAATAGACCTTTAAAAGGTGGCGGCCGCTCTTTACTGATTAGTTTTAAATTAAAATGTTGCAGTGCATCGCTGGCGGTGTGTTCTTGTAAGTACAAAATTTTGAATCTCGTAGTTTTGGAGGATATCCTCACCGAGTTCAAAACGAGATTTTATTGGAATTAACTCATTCATTAATATCTTTCCAGTTGAAACTTTTTGTGCTACTATAAATATTTTGCTGTCAGATTTTTCTCATAGTGATAATCTAGTACATGTATAAAAAATATTCTATAAATGTTACAAAGTTAAAACTATTACTACAAAAACTAGACGAAAATAATTTACAACTCTGAATTCTGAAGTTTTCGTTCATTTTAGTATTTTTTCCGATCACGATTTAGATTTATTTTTTCGCTTATTGAAAACAAAAGAAATAAATAATTTTCTACCTATAGTATCTGAAATTGATTAATAGCTTACCAACAAAATAGAAGGAATGTTTTACTAATTTATTCCATTGTATTGTTATAGGCAGCAGTGAAATTAATTTAAAAAATTTTTGCAGGGCAATATTGAATCTGAGACAAATTCCTTTAAATTATCCTCCATGAAAACAGCCATTGGGGGCTTTGCTATATAATAACATAGCCCTCCCCTTCGGAACTTTGAATTATTTTATTCGACAAGACAATATGCCAAGTAAATGCCTTGTAAATGTTCTCCTTAACGTTTCTACTCTTTTAAATTTTGAAGTATTTATTTTTATGATTTTTAACGTTGAATTTATGAACAAATTTAAAACTAGAGTCTCGGACACTCAGTACAGGCAATCGGTCTTCATTATAAAAGCACCGATTATAAAAATGTTCTTCGAATAATAATTTATTATCAAGAATCAAAAATTAATATCTTAAAGAGTTTTTTAACGTAAAGGTAACTTAATTCTTATCAGCTACACTGCAAGTCTGAAAAAGAGAAAAATCTAAAATTTAACATTTTTTCGGAGAGAAAGAAGAAAGCTTACCATTCTCAGTTTTTTTTAAAGGTAATTTTATACAACTTTATCTGATTATTACTTGAATGCTATGTCTTTAGTTCCCCAGAATAAAATATAAATATTACTTAAATTAATTACATAAAAGTAATAAATTTGACATTTGAAACCTATCAGTTTTCTTTCGCAATCACTATCACTGGAGTGATTTGGTCAGATCCATTTTTTAAATTCTGTAGTTATCAATATGTGAAGTAATATTTTTGGTATCTTTTATTTTCTTCATTTATAAGAATTTGATTTTTAAGTACCGAGTCTGTTGGAAAACGAGAGCTCAGTCTTAAGCTTTCGCAATGCGAAGTCAGATTCTCTTCATATAAACTTCTTGATACTCCATTCTTATTTTCTTCCGTATTTGAGGCTTAATCATTATATGTAGTAGTAGCGCATAACACAATATCATCATATTTGTATGTAAATGGCATACTCGATATTTTGTGTAATAACCAAAATATCGAGTGTGCCATTTACGTACAAATATGATTATATTATATTGCGTTATGCGCTACTACTACGTATAATGATTAAGCATCAAATATGGGAAAAATAAGTATGGATTACTTTACACAACATGTGTACTTTACAAAACATGTAAGTAATTTTTACTCGACATCAACATATTAGTTTCACAAAAGCAATTTTAATCAGTCAAGATTAATTAAGTCAAAAATTTTCACTAATAAACACATTTTTACCTGCTTGAAAGTAAAATTGTATAATTGCTAGACTTCAAATTTGTTTCTCTCAGAATGAACTATTGCGTCATATCGGTTAATTCGAATATGATGAAGACAAGATTCTTTCTATTTATTAAAATAGCGAAGAAAGTGCAAAGTATTTGAAACTTGAAGAAATGTATTTTTCTTTTAACTAGCATGTGAATTGAAACTTTAAACGTTTAAAAAAATCCTTTTTCAGTTTTTGATGCTTGTTTCGTTCAAACTGGTGATTCGGTTGTATTTCATTAATTGCTCTTTAGTTTTCCATAAACTAAAAAAAAAAAAAAACTAATTTGATTAAAAGCTGTTACAGAAATATTAAAAAATAAACAAAGTTTCTTTGACTATAATTTCTGTCATTTCGTTATACAAAGTTATAAAGATTTCAACATTTGAAACGAATTTGAATAAAGTATGAAAAAGTTCAGATTTTATCTAATGCTACAATACCTCCTACATTCTTACTCCAAAATTATAACTTGTGGCATTTTGTGAGAGCACAGGATTTCAGAATGCAGTTAAACTGAACTGCTGAATTTGAATTGAGTTGTTATAATCCACGCTTTTTCCGTTTGCATTTACTAAAAGCTGTTTATTTTCAGGTTAATTTTTCTGTCTTCCTCGCCAGTTTGGGGACGCGTCATTCATATACCTGATCCAGTACTGTTGGACGAATGGTTTTCGAATTACCCTGGTGAAACAGAAGGTAATTTTAATTTCTGCAATAAAATCTAAACAATCCAATATAAGCGAAACAGTTTTCAAGCATCTATTTTTGAGAACAATAATGTAAATGTTAAAGGTTTTTTAACATTGACACATATGATGCCCTTTGAATAGTGAAACTATAATGTATACTTCAGTTAGTTTAAAAATTCTTCTTATTTTTTAATTTCAAAATATTTTCAGCAATAACTACCCGCAATTAACATTTCCATTAAATATATCTACGATGTTATCTAAAAATATTTCAAATATATAGTTTCTAGACTGTGCACCATAGCGCCTCTTGGCATCGGAAAATACTCTTGCTTTTTACAGAAATGATGTGCACTTTAGTTTTATAACCAGATCATCGATATCCTTCTACTGTGGAAGAATATACAATAGCGTACTCACCATTAATTAAAAAACACCCTGTTAAATTAATTGGTTTCAAAATTACTTCCAAGAAGATAATGTCGACATGAATTCAAGGCGCTTTCCACCTGACATGAATTCAAGTTTCATCTGAATTTACTTTTATCGCCAGAAATCTTGTTTAGTTGCCTTGCAATAATACACTAAAAGCAACATTCAGCTATGAGAACTATTTCTTTTGTTGGACTTCATTAAAACATGAATAGTTCATATGTGACATGTTTGTACAAAACTGGGTTTGGGGCATTTGCTATGATAAAAAAGTACGAGAAAAAATCCATGAATACAGGAAATGAGACCGACATGTGCGGCTGGTTCCAACTTGTGTAATGAAGGAAGATTCCCTTTTCCCACTAATTGCTTCATTTATGCAGTGATGCATTGTTCAAAATATGTGTTGATTTGGTACATTTTCTACAATTGTTTCTGAATTTGAAATAAGAATTACACTTAAATTTAAGCAATCTAGCCACATCCGCTTCGGGTTATAAATGTCAGGTAGACCTGTGTGCCAACTTTACCTACCATAGAAAATGTACTACACAAAAGGCGCATTTATTTGAGAATCACTGGATTAGACTATTCAGTTCTATTTTCAAACAAACAAAAAAAAAAGTCGTTTTACGTAATTTATTGTAAGAAAACTATAGTTTAATCTTGCTCTAAACATTGGTTATTTCAAGTTTAATATATTATACGAGACAGATACAGGGAAAATGCAAATAAAGTATAGAAATGTTAATATAAAGGAATGTATTTTGGCAAATTTGATGTCATGAGTAAAAGCTCTAGTTGTAAAGTTTTGCAAAAGATTCATTGAATTCACTTGGAAATAACTGGATAATTCTTGACTATTTGCATTAATTACTCATGTTTAATTTACTATGAATTAAGAAACGGTGATTATCGCGTTTGAACATAGTTTTATTTTATGAAATTCTAATACCATAGCGTAAGAGAAAGTTCATTAAGAAATAATGCACGATTCTCAATATTATTCCTCACTGCTATTATTTATTATAGAGGAAACAGAGCCCTCATATTTGTTGTCTTCCCTGCACATGCCAAATACAAACGAAGTTACTGCACATCAGTTATCCAGAAGTCTTCTGCGACTGACGAAGGATTTTCTCAGGTAAGCCTTTTTCACTGATCTGTATAGCGTACTGGGACCCACCAGCGGCCGAGCGGTAAAGTTGTTGAACACTGGTAGTTCGGTCCGAGGCTCGAATCCCGGCGAATGGGCTGACTGCACGGGAGTTTTCGTACTTTTCCCTATGTGTAACGTGGATACGAGCCAACTTCCTTTAGAAAGTCTTCCACGAAGGAGCCCCTTCCCTTAGGCAGATAACCCTCCTGTGCTTTGCTGTAATTAAATAAACCAAACCCTAAATCGGACTTGTAAACAACTTGGCTTATTCGTAATACGCTGTTATTGGACATATATAATAATGATTAAGAGCGAATATAATAGTGACATCCGTTTAAAATCAGAATAATCTAGATCAGTAAAATAATAATAATCGTAAAATTTAAAATCAATAAAAGTTGGCTTAAATATATACAGATTGCTCAAAACTTTTAATTGCTTAAGATTCTTGCAATCAAGAGCATGTTTGCATGGCAAACCATAAGCCGAAGGCTGAAGGCGCGGAACAGTGGTAGTTCGAGTGCGTTCGATTCTGGGGAAACGGGCTGGCTTCACGGGCGTTTTTCTAGTTTTCCTCATGTGTCGCTTGGATACGAACCAGTTTTCTGTAGAAAGTCTTCCATGAAAGCATCACTCTCCTTAGGCAGATAGCCCTCAAGTGTATTGCTATAATCGAATAAACCAAACAGTCTTCGCATATGATAATTTCCGCCAAGAGCAATAAAAAAGAGTAGTTATATTCTAAAGTATATTTGATTCTAAACTGTATTAATGCCCAAAATGGGAAGTACTTTTATCTCTAAATGAAATGTAATGTTTGTAATAAGTTTTAACATTGTTCTTAATTTTAGCGGCTGACAATAGTAACTAAGATGCGTTACTTAGATCAAGGTTTTTTTTAGAATGATGTACGAAATTATCTCGGATTTTTGAGTTCCTTTAAAATGTATTTAGATCACCTAGGAAATTAAAATATAGAAAGCAATATATGAGTAATTTTTATGACGGTTGGGAAACGTTGACATCTCTAATTTACTGAAACAATTTACAAAATCCTTGTAGGAAAATAAAATTCAAGAAAATGACTGTTTTCCCAATTAGGTCGTCTGCAAAACCTTTCAACAGACATTAATTACACTATGGCCTAGGAGCTATAAATTCAAGTTTACGAATTATATTTAAGTTATTTAATGTTAAATACTTAGCCAATTGAGATCAAAATTTATTAAATGTGTGTATATACAAAATTTTAAGGTATATCAAATTTTGTGAAAACTCAAAACAAATATTTTGCGATATGATTTAAATTTCTTTAATATTTAACGAAATTTTATGATATCAATAATTCAAATAAATTAAAGTTTGATTTAGATATCCTCTAAATGATTTGACATTTTTTTGTTTGTATATTAATTGTTTATATATGCAAAACGTTTCCAAGACATTCCAATCAAATGTCTGGAAGGTAAATCAAGAGTTTATGAATCCTTTTCTCCAGTATGCGAAAAATATTGCACTTTCTACCCATACATATTGGTAAATTTCCATAAATTTACGATCCTATGTTAAATAGCCACATAATTATATTGGTACTTAACGCATTAACGCAATCACCCTAACGAAATTTGATATATTTTCCATGTGTAGAAAATGGCCATAAGTCATCATTTAATTTAATTAAAAAACATTACTTAATACATATTTTACATTCTAATAAGGTATTTAAACAAAAAATCGGTCAATAAATCCATTATAAGCTGATTTTTATTTTGCTCTGATGGAAACTTCGCGGAGATCATTTTAACTAGTTTTAAAACAATTGTTCCTGTTAGCGATTTTACGATGAAATACTGTATTTCTGTAGAAATGTTAAATCAGTTTATTCAGCTGGTTAAAAATTGCGCAGGCAGAGGCTAATCTTTAGAATATGGTAACAGGTAGTTTGGCGACATTTTGGTAAGGCGATAGAGGTTACTAGCTAGGACTTCAGCAATAATCTGAGAAGTACACAGTTTGAATCACAGATTATTTTGTCTCGGCGAAATCAGAGATCATGAGACATGTGACATTTTCCGGAAAATTCCAATGGGGATTTTAGCTAATAAGCACTTAGAAACAATTTCGCTGCTAAAATGCAGAATCGCCCACTTATTTGTTTGGCGCTTTTTACAAGAGTAAGAATTGAATTTTTGTCAATTTTCTTTGATTTTTTAAGTGAAAATAGGTCGATGTGTACATGGATAAAGTCAAGAATGTGCGTTATTCTACGCTACGAGAGTCGACAGCAAGTAGTGGGCCGCCAGATGTCGCTGCTAGTGAAAAACAGGTCTGCTCGACATCCTATATTCTCTGAGTACGGAAATTGTAGAAAGCGCGCAAAAAAGTGTTGCCGCGTCGTCAATCAGGGTTGTGCAGTTGACGTACTAAGTAGACAACGGCTTTGCATATGTTTTCGCCGCTGATTTTTTTTCACATTTAAACGAAGAATACGGTCGTAGATCTCTGAATCAGTGGCGAATTTATAGAAAATATGTTGATGCTTTTGCTCTGCCAGAAGATGTTATCATTGCGTATTTCAGATTGGCAAAATTTACAGTTATTTTAATTTGCGATGAACTGATAGAGTACTTGGAGCCACATTCAGAAAACAAAAACGCAGTTTCTACTGAAAAAAAGGTTATTTATACTATTCCTGAAATTAGACATAAATTGTAATTATATGCTTTAAAAATGTAGAAGATAATAAGCTTATTAAGCACATATAGACATCCGATAAGCTTCTACTCGATTTATGTACAGCAAGAATTACGTTTATTTTAAAATCTAACAGTTGAATACCTTACGAACAATACTGTACACAAAAAGGAATGTCGTTCATTATTACGCGAAATTCGCACTACTCTAAAATAAAAATTTAAAAAAAGCTTTATAATATTTTTTCAGTAGTAGTACTACTACTAGTGTGATACTTTTAAAAATAAGTTTTAGCTCAGAAGGGCTATTAACTTCGTTTTACCATTTTGTAGCGTTTCACTTTTCAAATCGTTGCCACTAAATATCATCGCACTGTATTATATTTAAAAAATTAAATAATGAGAAATCTGCATAAATGTATGAATGTTTCTCGCACTGTGATAAAACAATGCTACCTAGAGCCATGAAATTTTGAATAACGTAATCCTCCATCCTAATATAGGCATCTTGGAGGCCAAAAATTTGGAACTGGGATTTGTTTTATTATCTATTTCATATTTTGTAAAGCATTTATGAGTGTTTGATTAAGAAACTGAATGATTTCAAAGCGAGAATGGCAACATTGTACGAAAAAAAAAAAAAAAAAAAAGAAAAAAAAAAACATTTTCATCTCTAGCGCGAAACTATGTATCAGAAATTCTAAAGATATGCTCTTTTTAAATTATATGATTTTGCTGTTGAATTGAATTTTATGGTTTAAATGCGAAGAACATGATATTTAATAAATAAAGGCTCGTAGCACGCAAAAAATTAAAAATACCGGCCTTTTGTGAGTAATATAAAATCTGAAAGCTTTCAGTTTTTTTTTTTTTTTTTTTTTTTTTTTGGGGGGGGGGTGCGTGTGTAATTTTATTACGCTTTAAATTTGGTTTCTAAGGAAGGACTTTCTGAGGGAAACTGGCTTGTATACACATTACATATGGGGAAAGCCACGAAAATGCCGATGCGGGCAGCTCGTTGTGGGATTCGAACCTCGGTCCAAACTACCTGCGTTCAGCGACTCTACCTCTCGGCCACTGGTGGGCTTATTAGCAGAATTATACTGTATTATTGTATTATGCTATAAAGTAACAATGCTATAAGACTGAGACGTACCTTTAGAATTTCCGATACATAGTTTCGCGCGCTAGAGACGAAAATGTTTTTTTTTTTTCCTCTTTTTTTGTTCATGGAATAGTACTTTTGTAATCCATTAGTATTAAAAAATCATTGTTTCTTTGCAACTTAAAAAAAAAGATACTCTTCATAGCAGAGTTCTCATTTTTTATATGTAAAAGAGATATTGATTATTAATTTTCTATTAATGTGTCGAAACGCTGGTTTGACAAGGACTTCAACTGCAGAAAAATATTAAAGAAGCAGTGTGAATCTGGAAAATCACCTTCAGTATATTTAAAAAGCACTGATAAATTTATAAAATAATCTTAATTAATATAAAAGATTTTCTTATATGAAATTATCTAAGTGCTAAGTGCATTTAGTTACAATATTATTAACGCGAATTACGTTTTGTGTAATTAATGGATTATTTATTTTGAGGGGAAAAAAAAAAAAAAAAAACACGAAAATCCGAGTTTAAATTATCGCGAAAAGTCAAAGAAACGTTTTGTCAAAGAACGATTCATCTTAACTCGTGTTCTTCAATTTCCCATATACGTCGTACGTTGATTATTTTTACTTTGGTACTTGCATTGTGAAAATATTACTATTTTTTAATTATTTTCACAGAATAAAATCTTTTGAGAAGGAAGAATATTTTAAATAAGCAGTTTTTATATATATAAGAAATTAAAATAACAGCAATGTAATGTTAAAAAAAAGTATTAGTAATTGTGTGACAAAAATTACAATACAAGTAATCACACATACAGGATAGATTAGTATAATTTTGGTATATATTTTTATTGAAAAAAAAATATTTCTTTCAATAATTATGAATAAATTTTAAAATAAACATTTGATGCGTGTGTGATAGCTGAATGCAGCAGCAATCGGCGTTACTGTAATAGCGAATGAATTTTAGAAAGAAATAATTTTCATAGAAAAAAAAATAATTTCATAGAAAAGAAAATAAAAAAAAAGGAAGAAATATTTTCTTTCTAATTTCTTACTTAAAGAAATATTTTTCTAATATTAACTGTAAAATAAAATGCGTGAAAACAGCTTAATGTAAGCATATTAAAAAAAAAAAGAAAAAAAGAAAAAAAAAGAACCTAGTTTGCAATTAGATT